TAGAATCACGAATGTTTTCTTTATTATATTCGTAAACTTCAATTATTTTTCTTAATAGGTCTTCTTTATCTTCATAATGTTCAGAATAAAATATTAATTTCAACAGTTCCCGTGACATTTTACATCAATTTCTTTAAATTATTATTTCAAATAATATAAAAATTATAATTTTTTTTATCAATAGACAAATCTTCGAAACGTATAATATAAATTTTAATTTGAAATTCGTTATAAATTAAGCTAAATCGAAAATTTCGTTCTTATTTTTGAATTTAAATATTTAAATTAAATTTATTTTTATTAAAGATTTAAGTTTATATTTAAAGATATATTATTTTGAATATGAAAAATATTTTGTAATTTATTAATAGAAAAATTCATTTAATAAAACAAATTGAAAATTTTGTTTTAACCTTTCTTGTTCCTGAGATTGTATTTTTATGTTTTACAACTAATTTCTTCACTTTTTTATTATGATTTCTTCTTAATGTTTATCTAACTAAATCGTAAGTTTCCTTGTTTTTACTCACTCTTTCATCTTATGCACTCAAAGTTTGCTAGACAAATCTTGAAATCAGCAAGCCTTTAATCGACATTTTGGCTAGCATCTTTGTATTTTTATTTTAGTTATACCCTTTACAGAATTGTCATTGCTTTATACCACTACTGACAATACCATTGAACAGTAATGGTTTATAGTGGGTTCTCGTATGACTAATAAGTTAGTCTTGTTAACTTTACGAGGTTTTTTTCCACGTATCTAACACCCAAAAAGGGCGAGTTTCGCATAGACAGTCTTCACGAGTGGCACTCTCTTTAGGTAGATCATCCATGTGTTGCGTTGTCTTATTTAATTATTCTACTCCGTTTTGCATTACATGTCCATACCATTGCAATTGAAATTTAATCGTGCTTTCATTACTAGTACAAACTATAAGATTTTACAAATGACACTCAATTCAATCTCATTGTGCCAAGAGGCCATTACATCATTTATATTTCGTTCTTCAGTTTCTTTTTCTTGTTCAAGGAGAGAATCAGTGTTGCCGTTCCTAGTACATTTGTACTTTTCTGGTACATTTTGCCCTTTTCAGTAAATTGAAAGTACATTTAGATTTTTAGTACATTTTCAGTACATTATAATATTTCAAGTACCATTTACGGTACAAAATAATATTTCACGCCTTAACGAAAAAATGAGAAAAATTAGTTTAATAAAGTCGCACTAGTGTCACTGCTTGCTAATTTAAATTATCCAATCGCAACATACAAATGGTGTGTGTCCGTCGACGTCAGCAACATAGATAGTTGCACGTGTAAACGGTCTTGACTCAGTGGTCTTTCATACGTTCAGTTGTCTGCACATTCTCATTAGGACCTTGACAAAATTTTTCATGCCACGTGGTCCAAACAATTCAATTCCGTCAAACAAAAATAATGGACAGGTAAGGAAATCAATGATTTTAAACTTTTGTCGTCAATAATATCAAAATATCCGTTAAGTCAGAA